GCAGTGTGCGGCTTCGACAGCACCCACGGCCGCAAACGACCAGCACGACCCGCAGCTACCTTGGTTGCGCACGGGCGACATGCACTTGTTGGTTGTCCAGTCGACGCCCGCCGCCTCTTGCTGGGCCTGCGTCAGCGTGAGCTGGATGTTGTCGCCGCGCAGCTGGCGCTTGGGCGTCTCGTGCTTGAACGAGCCCTTGACAAAGGCCGCAAACTGGTCTTCGGTCATGAGCGCAAACTGGTGTCGGTCGAAAAGACGGCACCGTTGTGCTGCTTGTGAGGTCATGGACGATCTTTTGGTTCGTCGCGACCCGGACGAGTTCGTCGTGGAGTCGCCGTCTTCGAGGTTGCCATTCTCCGTCTTGGGCGGGAGAAAGCCGTGGGCTTCAGCTTGCTTACCGGCCTGGCTGTCCTTCCACGCGGCAAGCTTGGTTTCGAGGTCGACCTTTTCTGGGCAGAGAGACGCAGGCCTTGGACGGCCGACGCAGCGAGGAGGAGGCACGCGATCGACTTCATTGTGTGATGGTGTAAAGTGGTCGAGGGAAATTGGAAAATGAAAACACGATGTCGGTGTGAACTGCGCCATCGCCGTAGCATGCGACGCGCAGTGTTCGATTTCAAGAGCAGAGGCACTATAGAAAAGGCTCTTTTTGAGTCCACTGAGTTGCGTATCTGAGTTTGTGGTCATATCCTGTGAGGCAAAGCCAGCACCACTTGCTATTGCCGCGCGCAATAGGATTCCTAGAATTCCACAGGACGCATGATACTTTACTGCAAGAATTTTTGATTAGCATCGACTAGAACCTTGGCTCACGATACCGTCACATGCGGCTGTTTAAGTTTGCACTTTTTGAAATTGCACTTCTACGAACCGGCTCTACTCTCTCTTGCATTTCACGCTGCCACGTGATCGTGCCTCGTCCAGCCTGTACCATTGACGTTGTCGCCATGCGTGCGCTAGTTTCGTTTGAATGACATTTTTGTTTGTATGGAGCAAATATAGCATAGACCATTGTGGCATGGTCTTGATCCAAACGCAACGGAAGCATGCTGGTACTACAGTGACGGGTTCCAATCCGACCCGAACGCGTTGGCAACCTTGCGGTAGCAAACACATGTCGGTGGAATCGGACTGCAAAACAAACGGAGACTAGAAATGGAAGCGCGTTGTGCCTTTGTGGCATTGTATATGGCGACAATGCCGTTGGCCCCTTTAAGTCACGTGTTTTGAGTGTTATATAATCAAAAGATTCGATACCACTGCTAACACTTGGTACTCTACAGTAAGATTCAGCCTCCTTATTTCATTGTATCAGCACGGCCCCAAAGACGCACCATCAACGCACCGTTGTTGCATGATGCAGTTGCGGGCTTGCAGAGTTGTCGGTCGCTTTTGGTCCTGCCTGCAGGATTGGATACGTGCAACAATGACGGAATGACGATGTAATCGAGTTGGAGGCGTGAAGCGCCTCCTACACTTGCTTCAAGAGCACGTATTTGGCCTTGACGTTATTGGGCCACCAATTGCCGGCGACAGGAAACACCGTCCACGACTAGAAACGGCCAACCTCGACGACCAGCGCCGGCCACTCGCGCATGTTACGGCGAACGAGGCGTCGATCGCCGGCGGTGGGCTTTGGTTAAGCGTGTCAATAGATGGTCACAAGTAGCATCGGCTTGCGTCTTTATGTGGTTGCCACGTGCGGCAGTGACGGGGCCGTTCTTGGCGAGCGCGAGCGAGATGCCCGACGCACGACGTGCGACCAAGCGTACGCTCTCTTTCGCCTCGTGCGCGTTGGTTGGAATGTCGGTACTGTCGCTGTCAATAAGGTCCTCAAAGCGCAAGCGAGTTGGTTTCAAAAGAGGCATTGATGAGCTGGGCCACGACGTCCGAGAGGAGAAGGAGCGACTCGTTGGCTCTCGTCAAGTGGCGTCGAATGCGTTCGGCGGGAATGGGCCACCTTGGTAGACTCGAGCGCAGCAGGCGAATGTCGT